GGGCTGCGAGGGCATAAAGCCCTATTTTGCTCCACTTCTATCAGCAGGTTTAGAATGAGGGGGAAAATGGCGAAGAAATATGTCGCAGAGCGCCGAAGGGGGCCGGAGGATGTTGTGGGTGTAGGAGTGGTGCCGTTGATGGATGTATTTGGGAGGAGTTAGCGGGGATTAGGACGGATCGCGGGGGGAATAGGGAGGAGTTGATTCGGAGGAAGAAGGATGGAGGTGGGAGCGGAGCGGCGAGAGGGGGTGAAGCAGGAGGCGGAGGAGAAGACCTTAGAAGCAGTGATATTGATCAGGCAAACAATCGCAAAAACTTGCACCTATAGACTCTATAACACGCTAAATTTCACGAATTTTCTCAGACTCCTATAATCCACAGTTTTATTTCTTTCACTAAATAAGTATAAGCAAACAAACGTACCATCATCATTTCAATTTATACAATAACCATCATATATATTATCAGTACTTTGGGTTAATAAAAGTAATGTTTTGTAAGAAGCAACAGGGTTCATCAAAATATCTACTAATCCATACTATTTATAGGAACCTAAATTCTTATTACGGCTTAAAATAGATTCTTGAAAATAAACACACGTAACACCTTATAACGGCAGACGTAAACGAAACAATTGACATGTTATGTTAAGTTAATTATATGTGTGCCCATAGGCACAAACACGACGTGGTAAACCACACACCAAAATAATGCACTGGAAAACAAAAGTAAACCCCGTATCGGAAGTAATGCACTGATACTGCAACAAACGCCTGTTCAAATTTAGCCCTTTTATTAATGGCTACTACTATGTAAACATAGTTATTATACTCGTATGAGCGTTCAATGACATAACGTAATAAAGTTGCGCTACAATAAACCGAGTGTCGTGCAAAACTTTACCCAACACACGCCGATAAATCCATACTCGTAGCCCTAACAAAAGTGAACAAAGCTATGAACGATACTATCCGAAACAAAGTAGGATCACCCATATTAACACAAGAATTTAACAAAATATATAATTACATAAAACACATTAGCTCCAGTAGGAACACCCATAATCATTGTCACGGAACTAAAAAACAGCCACCTCTATGTCTAACTTAAACGTAACCGTGTGATGTCATCACAGTCTTCTCCGTAAACAAACCATAGAAAACCCAGTAAACAATAAATCATAAAACCCAAAAGACATCTATTTTCACACTAATCCCTAAGCATATGCGACTAACAGTGCCAAATCCTTGCAAAATGAGAGCATACACCTAAAGATGCTTAAAACCAAAACATGTTTAAACAACACAGGATCATCACTAACTAACGGATCAAAAAACAGAACAGAGCTTACGATCAAATGAGAGCGCGTTTATAGCTGCCGCTAAAACCGGGGGCGTCGCCAAATAACAGAACCGAAGTGAACACATATGCCCAAGGAAAAACATGGATAATATTTTAGTCGTAAAAACCCTAAACAAAGTGCAAATTAATTTTATAAAACTAAAAATTTAAAAAACATTTGCTAAATAAAAAGGAAATATTAAGCGGCCGACGTGATGTCATTGGTAAACAATGAAAGCTCAACCCACGTTTACAACTAAAAACTTGCTAATCAGCAACAAGATCAAAAAAAGAAACTGACAGCTTTGCATCTAAAGCATTCAAAAGTGGCAAATCCCAATCAGGTAAACCGCCTAAAGAATGAATGAAATAACTACCAAAGCCATCAATTACAATAGACCCCAAAATAGACGTTTAGCATCACGATTCTCAAAAAAAGGTGATAGCAACCCAAGGGTGTTAAATTACAGTAAGGCTCTAGGGATTCCTTACAAATTAAAAAAAAACTCAAAATCACCAAACCAGATCACACTCCCAACAAACTACAAATACACCAATTCGCTTATGATCCGAAGTTAGCACTTAATTATAAGGGCTTCTCATACTCGTAAGGATAAGATGACAGTCAATAAACATTTTGAAATGATACATTCCAACTAACGTAATCTTTGGAAAGGGGAAATCAAACCCGATTGGTACAAGATTATTTGTAGAAGTTTAGTGGTTTCCTGTAATAAGCTCAATAAGTAAAACTCCTGGGTAATTCAAGAATATGCCATAAAAAAATCATTAATATAGTAATAACACACAAATTTGCTAAAAAATAAACCTCAGCAGGCATATCTAACAAAAAAAGGTATCTTTTAAACAAAATTGGCAAGTAAAAACAGCAAAGAAAAACAGGTAGAGCAACTTTAACCTGACATCTTAAAAAAAGCACATTGTAGTGTCCCGAGACTCCCTGAAGACGAAAGAAGACACATATTCGAGCAGAATATATATTCGGTGCAGAGAGACCGTCTGGACTATTGGCATGGCCAGAAAGGCCAGCCCACCCAGCAAGGTACAAGAAGGCTAATTCAAAGTACAAAAGTGCCGCCTCACCAATGCCGAGGAAAAAAACACTATCGTATTACAATATTTATGAGCTATACCCCTACTGAAATCCACAACAGGTTAATTTAGAATCCTAATATGTAATAGACAGACCCAAAAACACTAACATTTAGCTAAATAGAAAATATGAATTTTTTCCGTCTTATCTAACAACCTTACGTGTGGTTCACTTTAAATTTTTGACAGATGCGTTTCATGGGCCTCAATCTATCTTAGTCGACCTTGGGCATCGGCAGTTTGTGCAGATTTGTGTGTCGCGCCCACTTCGATATTTTAATTTTCGTAGTCGTAAAGCCATGGAAGTGAGCAGGTTTGGATATGCTAAGAGCTGTACGATTTTTTGTTCTAGGACTTTTAACGTTGCTGTAGAGGGAAATATTGGCTGTGGAAAGTCCACATTCCTCAATTATTTCAAGGGGCTCTCACCCAAAATCCAAATTTCGCTTGAACCGATTGTACTCTGGAATGATGTGAAAGGTTTCAAGCTATTCGTAAGGTTACAGAAGTTTCTTGATTTTATTACAGGAAGTGTTTTATGGGGATCCAAACAGATGGAGTACCCCTTTCGAAAGCCAGGTTATGGCTACATTTTTTGAAAGACAGGCTGAAAAGCAGGTAATGTGCCGCCCGTTTACTCTCTTGTTATTTAATCATATTACAGATTATTTATTTTGTAGACTGCTCCTGTGCGGTTACTGGAACGCTCCGTGCACACTTGCCGATATTGCTTTATCGAGGCGATGAATAGAAAGTAAGTGTTATCAAGTGATTTCGGCTGTTTTTTTCCCCCTAATGGACGTCTTATTATTCTTGCTATGGTCTATGCTTGTCTTCACTGCTCTCTTCCAAATTGAAGTAAATGGTGAATTCTCTGCGTTTCAGTCGTCAATTATCTGATGAAGACTTGGAGGTTTTTGATAAATTCTACGATTGGGGGATGAGTTTTCCTACCAGCAAACTTGACCTCATCGGTATGTGGTTTTCTACTGTTTCTAGAAGTCGTTTTATAAGCGTTCTCTAAAATTGTCTCCATTTTTAATCTCACAGTCTATCTCCGGTGCTCCCCCGAGATCTGTGCTGAAAGAATACGGAAGCGCGACCGTAGGGGCGAAAGCGCAATCTCAATGGCAAGTTTCACGTCTGTATAGTTAGGCAATGATATTCCATCTCCTGGTTTGCATATCTTTTACCTATGCTCCTTGCTAATTTTCCTAATGAATCTCCCATCACATACAAATAACGGGTGTTCCGAATACCCGCGTGATACGTTTCATGGGCTATTTCTAGGTGAATAGTCTCAAATTTGTTTACTTTAGACCAAAAAGAACATCTTTTTAACCTTATTCAGAGGTTTCATTTCTCTGTGTTGCTGCCATCTAAGTAGTTTTGATTTTGTCGTCGATGTCGTGTCGCTGATTTGAAGCGTTACGAACAATAACTTGCCTGCATGCACTTTCTCAAATTTATTATCATTTTTAAACACGCAAAGTGACCTGTAACTTTTTCCTGTGTCTGACATGACCGCTTTTTTGTAATAGTGTGTGGTTTAGTGAGGTTGATTTTAGCCTTTGCACTTGTCATCTACTGTTGCACGATGTGGGACTTAGTTTAATCAATCGATTGCATTTTTTGTACGTTCATGACACAGATGACCCATCTAGAGGTCAAGTTTGTGGTCTTCTGTTATCACGGGCTTCTGGTATGGGTATAAACACGTGTTCGTGCATCAATTGACCTGATGACCCATGCTTTGTCTAACCCTTCTTCGATCCGGATTAGATTTCAGGCCCATAGGGTCTTATTTGCAAGCCCTATTTCCACCGACATTCTTGACCATATCGGCAGCGTGTTTTAAAATGCATTTGTTATTCAAACCCGCGGAAAGGGAGCTCCGAGTAATAAGTGTTCGGGGATTAAATTCTACCGATGTAAGACCCCTATTAAGGCTTTTGTCCTATCATCATGTACAACGATCTTCTAAAGTCATTTAGCGTTTGGCTTTGGCTTGGAAGTAACGAAGGCCTGTTTCACTATACCTCGAGTCCAGTGCTGCTGCAATGGCATTTCTGCCCTAAAGTACCTCGATTGCTTTGGCGTTTGGTTTCTTCTCTGGGACACGTCGCTCGATGCCAAATTTGCACTTTGGAAAGACAAATTGTCTAATCATCAAGTAACTACCAGTACATTC